GCTTCAGTATAACAGTCTTAATCAGTACCTATGGCTAGAGTAGTTCACTTGTATATTAATAATAGATCTGAGTAGTATGCGTTTGAAGAAGAAACCTAGAAAAACTAATATGAAGTCCGGAAGATTTTTTTGTGCCGAAGGTAAAAAGAAACCATTATCTTCAAAAAGATTATTTGCTTGTGCAGTCAATGTTTTGAGCTCAAATTTTTCAAAAAAATGTCAACTTTAATATTTTGAGAGCGGGCTTTTTCTAAATAAAACAGATCGATTTGCATTTTCTATCCATATGATTAACTTTCCATTGGATTTGTTAAAAAAAGTTTTTCAGTCATAGACTAAAGACATTGTAGATGAACGTGGACTTACAATAATTATTTAAAACAATTAATTTTATATAGGTCACATAGAGCAGAACATCAAATGATGAGCTCTAGAACAATGTTAATCAACATTTTGAGTGGAAACAACCGATACTTCGAATTCAGTTGTCGGCTCTTTTCGCCTATAGAACTATAGTGCTTTGGGTCTTAAGTTCAGGTTGAGGAGTGGTTGGTTAAATTGTTTGTCCTGAAAGGAATTTTTATTATTTAACCATCATACTTTGATGCTTGCTAGAGGACATCATGAGGTATATATAATAATATCATGTGCTTAATAGATCATCATATATTTCGGATGGATGACAACAAGTTTATACAGAAAAATAATATCTTTAATATCAATGAAGCATTATAATCATCAAACTCGGAAGTCCTGTTCCGGATATTTTTGTTTAATGAAATTTATTCAATATTATCATCTTCTATGTTGATACCAATATCTTCTTTTTTGTTAACTTCTTCGCAATTCTTTGTATTCTGAATATGATGTACAGGCTCCTTGGACAAAGGATTCTCGTTTATAAGCTCTCCCGGCATCTCTGACTAAGTATACTTATTTTTCTGGCTATCTCACTCGATAGTCGTCATGCTCAAGATCGCCGCTTATGCACATGCAGCTTGTAAACCAATCTCGATTTCTGTGATAAATATGCAAATAGGAGAAATTAATAAAATCACTTTTGACAAACGATAGCTACTATGTATAAGCACATTTTCAAATAAAAAAACCATAAGAAATACTTCCCAGTAATATAACAAAAACATAAGATAAGACAAATGTCATGTATGCAGAAAATCAGGCATCCCTTCTATTTGTTAATAGTTAATTCTAGTATGCCGCGGCCTCTATATAAATATAGCCTTTGTTCCTAAGAAATATCTTTCGTAGCATACAAAAGATAGAACAGATTAAAAAATATCAAAACTTTCACATAAATTCGAACCCAAAAAGACTGTATAGCAGTCAATCAAATAGAGCATTTCAGTTGAGCATGATTCATATCAATGAATTTTATTGTTTTTATTCACATCCAACCAGTATGTCGAAGCAAACGATAGAAACAATATTTCTTTTTGTTCTTTTGCGTCACTACTCTTATTTATCACCGTATCTTTTTTCAACTGCTTTTATACACACGTTATATCTAATATGATGAGGTGTCGTGAGAGAAACTGAGTGATCTTTTTTGTGACAAATATCCATTTATGTTAATGATTTTTCAATATTTATTGCAGATATTAAGATGGCGATTATCGATTCGGATGATGATCTATACAATGAGTGGTCTCAATTAGCCCAATCATATCAAGATGTATTATTACCACGTTTCCAACCACTCTATGATACCATGGCACATTATGTTGTCAAGAAAATTCAGTCGAACGATAGAGGAGGTGAATACCAACTATTGGATTATGGAACAGGTACATACGATATTCGTGTTTTATGTTTTTTAATCAGTAAAGAGTGCCTTATATACTTCTTCGATCATTTTGTCCTTAGGTCCTGGTGAGCCGATACTGACTATTTTTCAACAGCTTTCGGCAAATCATCTCTATAACGTTAAGTTACAAGCAACTGATTCTTCTCGGCGGATGCTGTCTTTAGCAGAGGAACGTTTACGTAAATTAAAAAGTCAACATTTGACTGTAAACTTTTCCATAACTGATGACATATTGAATACAAACGTTTACGACATCATTACACTCTCTCTGGTACTTCCATATGCATCAGATCAAGGTCAAATGTTACGAGGCTTCTTTCAACAATTGAAACCGAATGGGCTACTCATCAGTTCTCATTGGTCTCATCCAAACGAAGTTCCATTTCTTTCAGTCATAAAACGAGTTGTTCAATTCATGGCGACCGGTGAAAGAATCAATGCATCAAATCTAGAATCGAACGCATCATTTACCTGTTGGCAAGAAGAAATAATAAGAAATATGTTTGTCGCAGAAGGTTTTACAATAGAGCGATGGATAAATGTTGACCTTCCAATGTTTTTCCCTGATATTCGTACTCTACTTAGTTTTTGTCGAACATCCAAATGGTTTTGCGACTCATCTCTGTATTTAGAAGCTGAAGAAGAAGCAAGGCGTATTTTGCGTGAAGATTTTCACTTAGATCTTCAATCGAATGGTTCATTTGCACTACCAAGTAAAGCAGTTATAGTAATAGCGTCTAAATAACGGTTCTCATGATTATGGATGATTAATGAATATAATCGCTATTTACTATGAATTTGTGTTGTTTAATATATCAGTAAATTTTTAAATTGAAAGATGTATATGTCAGCTAGCTATTGAATTCAAAACCATGGTGTAATTCAATAAAATCAGGATGCTATTATCAGATTCTGAGAGCGTTTCTATTATTTTAAATAAATTCAAGGAGAAAACTAAGAAGAATCAATGACTGCAACTTGTCTTAGTCTAGTGATTGTTCATGCTTGGCGACAGTAATATCTGTCCACGAACTCTCGTCATAGTTAAACAGAGTGGTCTAGTATGAATGAGATTTATCATCAGGGACATAAGTTTCTACTGTTAAAAACTTTCGCTTTCGTTTTTAAAGTGACAAGCGTACTGTTGATGGAGATACAGGCAACGGTAAGAATCAATAGAACATCTTTGTTGAAATCATCATATACTATCGAGCTACAATAAATTCAATTTCATTCTTACTAGAAATTTCATCTGCTGTGTAAACATGAAATCACCATAGTCCAACAATATTCTAATATTGCTTGAGTTATCAATACTTTTTATCCTATTCATGTCGATGTTGCTACTATCAGCACCAATGGTGACCAAAGTTGAAATGGAAGTAGGTCTGATAAATTTTTTCCGGTACTCATACAGAATTCTTATGTAGTATGTTGGAAGAATTACTTTGGATCAAAGCGATGACTTGTTTCAAATCAATGGGTACTACGAAACACAACTCGGATCGTTGGCTAGTTGAAGATATTCGTAAAATAACAAATCATAAATCGTAACATTTCAACAACATATCGAGTGAGCTTGTAACAATGATTGAATTAGTTATTTCTAGTAGTTTATCATTTTCGCAACCTCACTAAAGGCAAACGAAACGGATGAGAATTGGAAGCGGTAGAACACAAATTGACTAAAAGTACGAAATTAAACCCAAGAGGTAAACCTAGATCTCTTCCTTTTCTATTGGCGATCATTATCATCGTCAAATATTTCATTATTCAAGTTGTGGGTGATTCTATGACGTAGAGAAGTTTCGTTTTGCAAAATAATATGCTGAATGTGTCATAGTTCC